AAGACATGTATTACAGGTGTTCAGCCTTCCTTGATAGGCAGTGTTAGCTGACATAGAATGGTTCAGGTTGGAAAAGAGTTAGAGTTGGTCTAACCATGATATCTTTGACAGTTGATTTGAGTCAGCCATGCAGGCGGGTGGTGTAGGCTTCCTGGTCAGGGTGTTCAGCATACTTAGAACCAACAGGTGAAGGCAGTTGATGATATAGCTCAAAATCGTTCTCAATGGCGAAGACACATTCAGTCTATATCCACTGAACACTGCTGTTGTTTTTTTCATGTTACTATTATTTATTCTGCTTATTATCGTTATTTCAGTTTCTTTTTTCCTTTCTGTTGTCTTCGTTTGTGTGTGGCAACTTCAACTGCTACACTTCTGTGCAAAGTTCCATGTTGTAACCAGTTAGTCGGTCAGGAATGTCTGATTTTTATAAATTTAAACAATATTCTGTATTCTACGTTTTAGGATTAATTATATGTATCGAATATTTTTTTTCTGATTAACTTCTCTAAATATCACTTTTTGTTATGTTTCAACTGTGTCGATATAAGCTATAATTAAGGTTGCGAATAGTTAGACATGACATTTTCTTGCTTACAGTGAAGAAGAACTTTTTAGAGGAAATCGAATTCAACGTTAAACTATATAACGTATAAACAAATAAATAAGCGCAATAGCTAAATATTCAAAGCATACAGAATGAAGTTGGCTGAAAATCTAATGGGTAGTCGTGATCAGCGGGGTGCACCAAGTTGGAGGGAAGAGGACAGGTACTCTCGATTGACATTGGGTGGCGTTGACGCTCTATATAGGGAATTGGTAGAAGTTAGAATTCACGGACCATTAGATTGCGTCTCAGTAGCTGTATGATATACGAGTTCGCCTTGTGCCCCTGTAGGTCCTCATTTCGATCCTTGATGGAGTTCGTGGATGTGTACTGCTAGGCATGGAGTCAATAAAAGCCTAATATCTGAGAAACAAAATTAATTTCTGTGCCTGTTAACTAGACTTTCTTTCCTAAGGTTTGTAATAAGGTCTGCTTTGATTTGAGTTATTTTTGAAACTATGATTCCTTATTATAGTTTTCCATTATGGTCATTAAAGGCTTATGCTACTGACATTGGGTTCAGTGGTGATGTTAAACTTTAATAGGAGTTGATATTACCAGCAAGACCAATAATCCTGTGACTAGGGTCTGACACAGGAAGGCGATAAGCAACTCGTTTGATGACTGAATACCAGCGTTAGTTTCTAATCACACCTGACCCCCAGAACCCACGCAAATAAAGACAGGCGATAAATTCCTCGGAGCTGGTGAGAACGATTTACTTTTATTATACAAACATACATTTATATACAAAAAATACGTACGTTGAAAAAGGAAGAGAGCAAACAACTAATTTAATTACTTGCATAAGTTCGGGCTTCCAGGTTGTCCATTTGCATTGATAACAAATATCCTGTGTGTCTACCCGATGGTCTAAATTCGGGTAGACTGTAAATGCAACCCCTTTCCTCTCGACCTAGTGTCCTCATTTTCTCCCTTCTCCCCATTTCTCCTTTGCTCAATTCAACTCTAGCTCAGTTGTGTGCTTAGGTGTTCATCACCAATTAGGGCTGTTGTGAATCTGTCGCCTTATTGCATATTCTAAGTTAGTTTGAATGAATGCTTTGAACAATATATATTTATACTTTCCAAATTTTAACCTATTGTATTGCTGTATACCTCTATTTCAAATCCTCCATCTCGAGGCGCTTCTCTCTCATTTCTCAAAAAATGTCACAGCTAAGATCGCACAATGAATTTTCAGTCGCACTTTTCCACCTTCTTGGTGTGATATGATGAGTAATATGCACAGCAGTAGTGGTAAAATGAGTGGTATGCAAAATCGGTGGCCTGCTTAAAACTTGGGCAACTGAAAACCCGCATCAATTTAATGCATTTAATTTACCTTATTCAGTTTGTTTAAATCTAGTACGAAATATGATCTCTAATAGTATCATTTACTCTGGCGGATATTTAAAACGTTTAAAAACCTGCTGATTGGCAAGTTTCTACTAAACTTGAGAGAAAGCATTATCCTGTTCGAGGGTTTTGTTCTTGGTTCAGAAAATGTTCTCCTGAACTTTTTTTTTATAACTGGCATTCAACAAAATGTCGTCGTGTATTTCTTGAAGGAGAGAAAGAAGAAATATCATGATAGACTCATTTGCGCTTCAAGTCAGATAGAGCTGTGTCACACGATCTATTGTCAATTAATATTCGATAGATTAACCCAAATCAACCGGATTATGTGTTATAAGTTATTTTGGGAAAATTTTTCAAGCATCACGAAACATCTACTAAAAAAATTCTCATAAGTGTATCTCAATGAAATTAAGAAACAGTATTGTTCTGTCTCACAAATTTACACTATTGTCCACCAATGAAATCTCTAAGGATTAAATCAGTGGCCATCAAACTGGTCAGAGAAAATAGAGTCACTATTTCTCATTAGTCTATCATTCAGTTTCTACTTTTAGATGATTGATTCATCTAAATGAAGTTAATCTATAATTTCTAGCAGTTCTGTGTTCTATGTTGATAACTGCAGAGCATCTATTAATTTTAGTTGGCCTTAGATATAAATACAATACTAACAGTGAAAGTCCCTAGAGCAATTCTGACTACGTGCTTGTTGTAATGCATTGAATTATATGGGAGGTGGGGGAAGTAGTTAATCAGAACAGTCAGAACAAATAGATTTGTCTATGCAATTTGTATCTGAATTAAGAGGAATGACGTAAACAGATAGATGCACTCCAACTGTGAAATTCCATAATGATTTTGTTTTAAGGCATTAAAAACACCCCTTTTATTTTTTTAAAGAAAAAAAGTCACAAGATCAACTCTATTCCCTAACATTCATGACTTCATAAATGCCAGTAGAGAAAATATGTGCACTGTGTACAGTTAAGTAAGTGATTGACATGATTAATTCCCAAACACACTCTATATCACCATCATCATCATCATCATCGTTTAACAGTTGGGTTTGATTTCTTTTTTTTTTTTGTTTTCAACTGTCTATCTTCGCTTATCAACTCTCTACTGATTTATACATTTATCCACCAGAAATGATTATTTCACTAATTTGAAAGATGGCTGGGACCTTTTTTTTAAATATATTTTTCTTTTTTAAAAAAATACTGAAATTAGTGATGAATAAGCTTTACTTACTCCCTATGGACTTTATCTGGTTCTTTTTTTGTTTTAGTGAATCGATTAAACTTTGATTTCTTCCATTTATTTTTGGCGAACTTTTAAATTTTTATCTAGAATAATTGAAACAAATGAATGAATAAATGGCTATTGAGGATATTTTTTGCATTACTCAGGTTTTTCTTGTTGTGGTTATAGCTTTTGTAAGCTTATTGAAAAGGCTGTTTTTCTTTTCATGTATATCTGTACAATAATTTATCAAATACTGTTGGTTTCTTTCATTCTTTCCTTTTTTTTCCCCAACTTAATACCCCTATTTCACATAGATTTATTTATTTGAGTTAATATTTATATAGATAAAACAATAAGAAGACGTAATTTGTCGGAATCGTGTAATGTTGTATTTGCGCAACACATTTCGAACAATCTGATCTGATCATACACGGACTTGTCATAGGAATATATATATATATATATATATATATATATATATATATATATGAAATTAACAAAGAGATAACAGGTGAGAAAATAGACTTAGGTTGAGTTAAAAGGACATATTCAAGGTCAAAAGCCTCGCCAGATTACTAGCTAGCTAGACTACTAGTTTTCTAGCCGGTTTCAAGCCCGGGTAAACAGGGAGGGTTGGGGCGTGGTGCTAGCGTCTCCACCCCTGTAAAACAACCAAATCGCTACAGAAACTTCAACGAATAAATATATTAAAAATTCTAAAAAACATAAACAACAACCTTATTTTTTGCTGGAATCGGAGAAGCGAAAGGACGCAGGCTGGTGAAAGCCTTCGGGAAGCCAGTCAGCCGATGTGCCTTCCTTCGATGAAAGCAAAAGTAAGGATGGGTACCTGGAATGTTCGTACAATGTACGAAACTGGAAAGGCTACCCAGATAGCCGCTGAAATGAGAAGATATAGAATAGAAGTGTTGGGAATCTGCGAAAGCAGATGGAAGGGAGCTGGAAGGTGCCAACTACCTACTGGAGAGACAATAATCTATCCCGGCCACCCAGAGGACAACCACGAGCACACCGAGGGAGTGGCCATCATGATGTCACCAACAGCAGCCAACGCTCTCATGCAGTGGGAACCAATCTCCTCCAGGATAATGACAGCCAGGTTCAACTCAAAAGGAAGGAAAGTTACAGTCATTCAGTGCTATGCGCCTACAAACGTCTCAGAACAAGAGAAGAGGGTGGCGTTCTACAGATAACTACAAGCAATAATGGACAACGTCCCAAATGGCGATATCAAAGTACTGATGGGCGAAATGAATGCGAAGCTGGGAGGAGACAACACAGAAAGGGAACTCACCATGGGTCGTGAGGCCCTCGGTGAAATGAACGACAATGGCGAACTCTTCTCAGACTTCTGCGCCTTCAATGATTTGGTGATTGGTGGTAGTGTGTTCAAACACAAGGCGACATGGATTACACCAGATGGATACACCGAAAACCAGATAGACTTCATTTCAATCTCAAGAAAGTGGAGACGGATACCATAGCAGATGTACTATTACCTCTGCTATTTGGTTTAATGGTCTTCATTGTTATTTTGACCTTCAGTATGTCCTTTTAACTTGACCTAAATTTATTTTCTCACCTCTTGACTCTTAATTAATTTCATATATATTCCTATGACAAGTCCGCGTATGATCAGATCAGATCAGATTGTTCGAAATGTGTTGCGCAAATACAACATTACACGATTCCGACAAATTACGTCTTCTTATTGTTTTATCTAAATTCATACAGGGAACTGATTGTTTTAATATTTATGTTTCAGAAAATAAAACAAACCACAGTTTTAATCTTAACTGTGAGAATGGAAGCAATTGGTGAGTATTTTTGAATCACTGATTTATATTATAATACAATATGAAGTTGACTACTGTTCGGTTTGATATGGTTTGTGCTGTTTAATTTCTTAATACAAGTTAACATTGAAAGAATCATTAACATAGAAATAGTGCATATCCTGTAACTGTTTCATCTCAGCAATGATTATTGATGACTGTATATATTTAATATGCCTTCAACTTTTTAGGTCTTGAAAACCAAACATTACTTTTCAAATCCCCCACGTTTCCTCATCCCCATGTCAATTCATGACATGGTTTTGCTGAACACCTAGGATCATCGGTATGCATCCCGTCTTAGTTCTAATTAACAGAAATCCTTTATTATGTGATAACATTAGGAGTATATTTCTATTTATTTTTAGGTATATGTGCTTATTGCATGAGTCATATTCCCGTTACAGTCACCTTCATGTATAAATGAAAAGTAACACAGGCAGTTTCAACTTCCTTGAGATTTATTGGTTGGCAATTTTCAGCTTCATTTAAATTTCCCTTTAGAATTACCGCACGTTGAATATCTTTGGTAGATCGAGCGTAGTTTTTATTCCAAAAATTACTTTTTATACTTAGTGTAATTCTCAGCGTGGAGTTATTTCTTTCCATTCCTTCTTGCATTTTGAGTGGAACACAAGGCTTTAGGCTAGAGATTTGAAGTTTCAGTAGCGTGGTTTTCTTATTCTTATGAGGTGAGGTTGCTAGCCTCACACTTAACCTTCCCTCTTTAACAACCTTACTGCCGGCTTAGGGATGCTTAGGAGTGCGTGAGCCGGAAATTCAACCGCTGACCACATGCGTGGTTGGCGAACGTTCTACCTCTGAATCATCAACGCACATGTTCAGTAAATTAGACGAAACTTATGAGTGTATTGTCTGGGAGTCCCATGTAGACTTCCTATGTGACTCATGAGCATTCCACTATTGGAACCGCTACTGCATATATATATATATATATATATATATATATATATATCCAGATGAAGTAACCTTATAATATTCTCAATTAACGTTAAGTTAGATACGAAGTAAAGCACTGGCGATGGTGTACAGCATACTGTTACAAATAAATGTTTGTCAATTGTAATTCAAGCACAAATAAACCATATATATATATATATATATATATATAGCACTATAATCACCACTTACAAAGGTAATCCGTTGGAAGTCTTAGATCTAGGATTTGTGATTGTTGCCACTTACTAGTCAGTAAGGCGTATCTGCAGTATTAAGGGGGCTCATGTTCTCTCTGACATTCAAACCTGTATCACCTAGTAGTGCAACCAGAGACGTTACCACTGAGTTATTCAGGCTCTAATTTTTGCCTTACACTACATGATAAGGAGGAAATCATCACAAAACTTTATGATGTGTAAAAATGAACTATACATTTATTAGAAATAGTGATAACAATATATGAATGATAGGAAGGACAGAATCAATCACTTACTGTTAGTAGTTTGATACCGAACACTTTTTCATCATATTAAATGTCCACCGAATAAGGTGTCATTGAAATTTTATTTATTTAATTTTGCTTTTATAATTGCTTCTATTCCTACCTGACAAGATGTGATGAGTGAGCTGTGTAAATTAAGAGGATGTTGACAATCTCAAGATGACTTTTGCTAGTTTTTGTACATCAGTTCAAATGTCTGTCAATGAGTTGGCTTAAAAGCATGGCCACCTACTCCCGCCTACACCTTTTTGTGTGTCCTTTGCAAGTCTGCTTTAAGTTGCCCCGGGCGAAGATTAAGAGAGAGCAATAAAAAAGAATAGGTAGACTGCAAAAGTTATCAAACTGCACAAGTAGACGACGAAGTAGTGCCAGATTGCCTTAACTTCCTCATGTAGAATGTTATACAAGATACTTTTCTAGAAATCAATAAGGTGTTGAACGACCAGTGCGTCGGTGGCACAGTTGTAGAATGCTTGCCAATCACGGACTTGGTTTTGGGTTCGATCCCCGGCCGATGCACTCGTTTACGTTGCTAGGCCAATAATAAGACAGGTAGAGAGGGAAGGTTGGTCATGAGGCTAGCGACCCCGTCCTGTAAAAATAAACACCACTGCTGTAGCTTGAAGCCCTGTAGTCCATTGGAAACGTAACGGAATATAATAATAACAAATAAATAATAATACAACGACCAGGAAAAATGAAAGGAATTTCTGAGGAAAGCCATTCATTTTGGAGCTGTGTGATTCGGAATTAACAGGTGCAAAAACAGTCAGATCATGGGCATACTTAAAGAAATCAGACTGATCAGAATGAGGTAAGTCAATTAAGAAAAAAGTTTATTTAGTGAAAGCAGTGAAAGACTTTGGTTTACATAAAGCATAATATTTTCCATCAGAAAAATAAGAATGCAGCCAGTTATGAGTCCAACCTTCAGTTTTTATCACGGTAAGCTAATCTAACAAAAAAGTCCCAGATACAGAGGGGATATTTAATCCAGCAGGGCACACTAAACATACTTAGCACCTTTTTCCAAACTGATAACAATATTAGATGGTATTTTCATGAAAAAGAAATCCATGGCATAAATAATAATAATAATAGCTTTATTCCAAAAACAGTACTCATGATACAGCAAGGAATTTTCAGCATTCAGTACAATATTGCATCTAATTTACCCAAAAACGACAACAACAAAAATTAAAAATACACAACACATAATAGTAATAAAACGATTGTTGTAGCAGCTGCGTATCAAAATACTGTGTGCCATACGGAGAAAAATATGTATAAAGTACAAAATTGTAGTAATAATAGTAATACCAACTAATATAAAATAGCAGAGTAACGATTTAAACGATAGAAAGTGTAACACCATAAAATACAGAAAGATGAACGATAAAAGGGTCGATTCACTGTGCTAATTACATAGTAACTTGTAAGTTTCACGTCTAACAGAGTCTTCGTCACATAAAGTACGGGCTAAATAGGGTATTGTAGAATTTCTATACTTAGTAGTACGAGCATATATCTTTTTATATTGACTTCTCGTCCTACCTGATGAGATACAAGGGGACAGGTGTGAATAAAGGGGGTGCAGAGGGTCTGACATTATAGCCTTTGCCCATTTCGTACAGGAATTTATATGCCTCTCGACTATAGTATTAGCGAGCTCATGCAGTGGCAGACCACAAGCTCTACTCACAGCATTTAATACTCTTCGTAATATGATATAATCTTTTTTGAGCAGCCCAGGAAAGATTAATGGAGAGCAGTAGAGTACAATAGGTAAAATACAGGAGTTTAAAAATTGCAAAACTAAAGGTTGGTTGATACCTGATAAATAATATTTACAATATATCTGAGTAGTATTTTATTTTCATGCATTTATCTTCTTTCTAATTCCAGTCCCCCAAATACTTTCGAAACGGTGGGTCAATGTAACAACCCTCAGAATCATTCATCTTTATCACTACAGAACAATTCGGAACATTTTATTAGCAATGAAGACAATCTCAGTGAGTAGTAGTTTCTCGTTGACTAATGTAAAAGTTCTTTTTTTATTTGAAGCAAATTTTTTTTGCCTAATTGAGAAGCATTCATTCCATCACTGAGAATACAGAATTAAATTTACATGAATTAAACGTCAAGTAGAATTTGATTTTGGGTACAAATCTTTCCCAATACAATAAAACTCAGTCATGTAGAAAAAATCAGCTACTGGACCAGCTAGGAAAGTCATACACAGATAGTAAATATTCGTACCTCAAACCAATGTATGGTTGAATTAAACAACAGACTCCTTTCTGAATGGCACCATTCCAATATTTCTTTCAAGCTTCAACTTTGCAGTCACATTTCCTTCGAAGCTGAAAGACCTAGTGGTTTTGTGAAAAATACCAGTGATTTCGCATACAAAACAATCGTGAGTAGTCGTTCATCATTGTTAATAGCCAGAGAAGCCACAGTTTCTGGTTATTTTTCTTAGCTTACACTTTCGCTTATTGGGTGAAATTGTTCTCCGCAGTCAATTTGTTGGTGATCCCAGAATTTTACGTCTAAAGCCTCTACAGAAATGGCGCTTTCAATCCTTCTTAACTATTAATACGGATCCATAATTCATCAAAATACGATAGAAGTACTATTTCATTAATACGTGCAAAACCTTTCGGGCACACAGGCCTTCTTTGAACACTCATATTTGTTCAAACTGAGGATTGTGTATGCTCCCAGCGCGTGATTAGAAGCATGCCGAAAAAATAATACTATGGCAACATCATCAACCTGCTAATAACCGTTTATCAAAGATACGACTGAAAGGCTGCACAATCACTGCACCAATCTAAACATAGGTAGCGATCATTACCAAAACCATAAGGCGTAAAATTATCCATAATCAATAAATAATGTAGTAGAGGTAACCCAAACTGCCTACATTGGTTGGGGGTTCTATCAAACCCATCTGTTTTCTTGCCGGTCACGACATGGTGACATATGTTAGCTCTAAAATTGCTGCAACTGTTCGTGTAGCCTTTATTTTTTAAAGAACTATCACTGTCTTAATAACCCGATCTTAGTTTCAGCGTCTAAAAATATGCATTTAAACAAGCATGTCTTAATCTCTGAGACAATCATTCGACTGTCCACAGGATGAACCATTTTATTTATTGGCCCTCAGTATGGCTAAATACTCATCCTGGTCTTTTGTGAAACCCAAGACCTCATACAATCTCATCCTGTTGAGCACTTAGAAAAGTGTGCTTCATTTTCACCATGTATATGTGTATGGCAGTTACGCGTGCCATGGACTGACCAAATTTAACCTCTCTGGAAACTCATTGCAATGGCCCAATAACACGAGGTTTTTGAGAATAAGGCTAGCACAGATTAAATTTTAATGAAACCTGCCACCCTATCAAGGTATTAAGCATGACGGTGGCTTCTAACAGGTCTACTGATACTACTGTAGGCCACAGACATTCATATTAGTGAGCTGTGAGTATGACACAACTCTCAGCTCTAAATATTTGTTTTTATTCAGCTATAATAAAAGCACATAGTGTAGGTGGTAGCACAGCTAACATGATCCGAATTCTTCACACTTATGCCAAATCAGTGCTTGGTGCATCACGATAAAAATTTCCAACACCTGCCTTCGCTGTACAATGGAGATCTGATGGCCTGTCACAAAGGACAAGTAATGAGAATCTCTAGCAACATGCCAGCCAAAAGCCTATCGCCCAGCAAATATGCAAAAAAGGAAACGGAAATGCAACTAATTGAAATTGACGGTAGAGAAGCGAGTGGAGTTGGGATATGCCACCGAAGCCCCCTACATTCTCCTCGGAACGTAAGTGAGGAATAATAACAATTAACATATGAGTAGTGAGTATGACAACCTAGATTCTAGCTTTCAGACTCAAATAGGCTTAAAACCCTTGATGACAAACCATTTTCTAATATCATAAACAATATCTTCATAAAAGTCGGTTTTCTAATCTTATGCTTTGACAAACAAAGATGTGCATGCATCATACTGAGGTCTTTGGCAAATTATTTGTAGATGCCGGCATCCGTTATTCTGTTAATTCACGATGTGATTTTAAATGGTTTATGGTACAGTTTATCACTGTTCCTTTATTGCTTGAATAATCCAATGAACCAGTGTCATTCATATCTTTAGCTTTGATTAGTACGTAATACCGCCTACTATCACCAGTGATATTCCTGATTGTGATGGGCTAGGCGTTACAATAAGCCATGCGGAGTAGGAAGACAGAAATACGTTTTACCCACAAGGAGAATCTATAAGATTTGGACTTTGTGGATGATTAATGTCAAATGTCACACAAATTCTAAGATCTACTTGTGGAAAACCAACGATTTGGTGGAGACAACGCCGTAGATAGGATTCCAAGCGGATGTAAAAAAGACAGACAGGTGATGAAAGTAACCAACCAATAAACCCAAGCACAAATCACTACCAAATGAAGAAATGTGAACGAGGTTACTCTTTCTTCACTTTTCTAGGCAGCATCGTTTCAAGTGCAGTCGGAACGGACGAGGATTTTAAGGCAACCAGTACCTCAAAGGTAAAACAGACAACCAGTAATGGAAATCGGCTTTACTCAAAATAAAAAAAAAAGATTTCGATTTTCAACGCTTAGTGTCAAACTGATGCTTCTAGCTTTGGTTCATAGGATTGGAGCATTCGTAACCAAAAGTATTCCCAAAAGCTTGCTATCATTCGCTCAGAGTACTGAAAATCAGATAACCAGAAAGGATAAGCATTGAGAAACTCTGGGAATGAACCATCCAAGAATCTATTCCTCAACAAACATGGCGAAGAAAATGGAGATGGATCACACATGCTGAGGAGACCAATGAGTGACATGGCAAGCTAGGCAAATCCTCGAGGGAAACCTGAATGCGAAACGACTAGTTAGGCGTCAAGGAGTGACAAATAAGCAATCATGTAATGAAGAGATCAGAGCTTATGGACAGTTGTGTAGGCAGATGAAGAGGACTTCAATGAACAGGATGAAATGGAGTTGTGCTACTGAGGCTCTATGCTCCACTTTGAACCCAAAGGAATAATAATATTGCGTATAAACTGATTTTTTTCCTAGCGTTGTCCAGGTCATTTAATAACGCTTCTATGATTTATTTTCAGTTTGATTATATCATTTATTCTTATTTTATAGATCAATCTCAGTCAACTTCATCAGAAAGTGATCGTGAAGATGTGACACCATTCAGACGCATTGAAAACTCTACTTCAGTGAATAATCATGAAAAATTAAATGGTTTACAAATGCATACTGAAAATACAAGTAAGTTTGTTGATAAAATACAACAAGAGACAATAATCGAGTTTATTGTGTTTTTTTTCATCAAATGAAACGAGGTCAGGATAAATGGGATAATGAAAAATATACTGACACGTGTGTCCCATCGTCATTGTTCATTATAGATATCAATTCGTAACCAAACTTGAAACAAATCAAATCTCTACATACTAATTCTTGAAAATTAATGTCACGCCCACTAGTGACTGGCCGCAGGACGACGTTGCCTGGAGTCCTAGGAAAAAGAAGTGACCGGTGGGATTCACTGTGCCGGGTGTCGCCGACGACATTTGCTGGTGGTGGTGGTGAGACTAGGAATTGACAGAATTTTGAATTCACGAGCCATTGGATCCCGGTCGAGGTGGCTAGACGGTCGACTAGCTTGGTCTCGTAACTTAATGGTCTTCTTCATGTTCGATCCCTAGTGAGGTCGTGGTTGCGTACTGATAAAGAGTCTCAAATTGGCACGAAACAGCTATGCACTACTCATTGACGCTCAGTGATTCTTTAACTGACACCAATCCGTGCTAAACCCTGAAACAAATCAAATCAGTACAAGCTAACTCATGAAAATAGGCAAATAAGAAAATACTTACGAGGTGTGTTTTGATCACATGAAATGATTACTGGACAACAATAAATGTCGCGTTTCTTTCTTCAGGAGTTATAAAAAATTATTTTCTGTGATAAATCGTTTTTTAATGTGGTGATTATAGAGCTTTGTGTTGAGTGATTCATTGATAAGATGGCTGAGTTAAATATTTACATTTATCAGGAAATGGTAGAGAGACTATTGTTATTCTTAAAATCAAGAAAATCAATTCGATGGTGGATGATCATGGTTATTTGAAATGACAAGCCTATTACCAGTCAAGTCGCTGCAAACCAACACTTTAATATCAATATGTTGCTCACTAGCGACTGGCCCTATTTGGGTAGGTGACCAATCGGGATCCACCGTATCAGGACATCGGTTAGCCGTCGCATTATATCTTAAATTGGCAGAAGTTGGGATTCATGGACCGTTCGATCGGGTCCCAGCGGCTCAATGGTCTACGAGCTCGCCTTGTGACCTGAAGGTCTTGATTTCGAACCCAGGCCAGTGGATGCGTACCGCTGAAGAGTCTCAAACTAGGACAAAACAGCTGTCCAGTACTCCCTGTAGGTTTTCAAATGATACTCTCACCGATGTCAGCTCATGACGAAATCTTGAAACAGGCCTAAGTACTATACTAGCTAATCGTGTGTTAAAAATTTAGTGTATTAGTTTTCTCAACTGACTGATGTTGTAAACAGCAGTTTCACTGACCGTATATTTACAGTGATAGATTCCTAAGATGTATTAACAAGCATTTCCAGACTTTTCACCCATATATCAGTGTATGGCTAGCCTCTTTTGTGCGTTTTATCATTCTAAAATGAAACGTTACTCACAATTCACTGGCTATTTCATGCAGTCGATAATGAGTTACACCTGTTATTTGAGGCTTAGTGATATTCCCTAGCTAGACCAAACCTTGGTAGATGGAGTAGGGTTTAGAACAGTGACCTGTTAGTTAGGAGTTGGACACTTAAACCGATGAGCCTCGCACCTATACTTATTAAGGCTTTTTGTAATCTATCATGATTTGCCAGCATCATTTAGTAGCAAAGTTTACGATGTACTCTCAAGGGATAAAAGTGTTTTGCTGCATTTGATATACTTTTATACGGCTCACAAGTAATGATATGAAGTTTGTAGGACTCACATTAATTTATTTACAGGATTGACCACGAGCTGACGTCCGTTAAAGGATTATTAGGACGGCTAGATGGCTGTCTCGTTCTACTTTAGGACTGTTCAGCAGAACGCACCCTCCATGATTCTAAACCAGGAGCTTCCAGTTACCCCGCGAGTTTGTGAACGATTCAGCCCCTGGGACCTGTTTCGATGGCGTATAAATTCCAACTTCTGCCAGTTTTGACCTATTTAGCTAACTATAGCCAACTAATATCATTGACGAGTAACTGTTCTCTTAGCTGACTGGGTAGACCTGCTGGTCGCTACTTCTCACAGTGGTTCACGAACTGATGTCAGCTGGTGATCAAACCTGTAGCCATTACATCCCTGCAAACCAACACTTGAAAATTTATTTATATATGGATGTCCGGAAGACTGACACTAAGTATTTTAATCCGTTCAACACATGTCCAGTTAGATTACTTTGTTCAAACTGGCCTTATCTATCGCGAATAAAAAGCAGTGGAACTTAATGAGTTCCCAAACAAATTTTTTTCAATGTCATCCATTTTTATCTCTGCGCTGCTAATCTGTTGAGTTAATCTTTTCAATAGACTTTCAGTTCCATAAGTAATACCGACTGACTATACAAACATCTGTAGATATAAAGAGTTCTGTGAATTAAATTCACTAGCTGGAACTTCGTATTCTAAGAGAAGTTATATGACAAATCTTTGACTGCTGGAAAGCATCTTATAGTACAGCGGAGACTACAAGAACAGTTTTGTCATAGTGGTTCAAGATCATTACATATATTTTCTTTAACTTTAATTTACAGATGGGAAATAGATATTTTGATTTCCTTTTAACCAGAAAGAGAGACACTGCCACATACCTAAGGACACGAGCATTAGGGGAATGATTAACGCCAACTAGTAGCGGCCTCCAGTCAGATTAGTCTGTCATCTAGTCTAGAGGTTGTTCGTTGGTGGCTGAGTGGTGGTGAGATGTTCACCAACACTGTACTTCTTCCGGGGCTAAAACCCTGGCCGACGCACTTCTCAATCTCGAAAAGCTGGAAGCAAGACCCGGGTAAAGAGTAAAGGTTGAGCGTGAGGCTAGCTACCTCACTCCATGAAAATGACACCACTGTTACTGAAACTTCAAAGCTTGAGCTTGAAGTCCTATGTTCCACTGAGGACGGAAAGGAATTAAATAAAATGGGGTTCAAGAGAGAGCTAATGTACATTAACTAACACATAACTTGGAGCCGAGTCATTTTACATTTTATAACTAATATATTTTAACATTCCGAAAAGAGCTGTGGTCAAAATTTGCCTCCAGGTGTGTACTTCGCAAATAACTATCTTCAGAGAGAAAAATTGTTGTCATTTCCTGAAAATTCTGGAATTACACCGAACAGTTCTTGAAAGTTTCTCCCTGGTTTGTTAGACGGTGGAAAATACCCTTCAGGACAATGGGAGAAAAAGAAATTCAGCGAAGATATATTCTTGATGATGGCATGCATCCCCAAAAGCTATTTATTCAAGTAGGTACAATTATTATTTAGTTGAACATAGTAACAAAGCTAAATGATAGAAGACGGTGATTTTCAACTTGATACGAAACTTTACTAGTGTGATAAAAAAATGAATGAAAACTCGCAAGGGACGTAGGAACAAAATAGCAGGGATTGGGAAAATAGTTGCATAATGTGTGCACCAGTTTTTGACGAATATAAGTCTTAATAGGATGTGCATATCAAAAAATTGAAAGAACAGTTTTTATAACTGAAAATGAAAAGTATGAAAGGGATGGAAAAATAAAAAGATAAGGAAATAAACAGGACTAGAGTCATGGTAAATGTAGTGGTTAAAGTAGTTTTTTTTGAACACATCTCCGGCTTTTTGTTGTATATGATGAAGGCTTCTCCAACATAAAGAGGTTGAAAACACACTGCCGTAGGTAGATTTCTGTTTGTGGTAGAGCTGTCTGCTAGCCGAAATTGTAGACAACAGTTTACGTCAATGTTTATGTCCCGAATCAGGGTCATGAGAAAAAAACAATAACAAAGCCTAACCTTGAGGAAATCACCAACCAATCACAGCAAACTTAGCGTGTGTAAATACGATTCTCAGATATATGGCCTAACTTTCTAAGAAATGGTCACAAAGAGATGATAGAATAACCTTCAGCGAGAAAACAACCAATCAGAAGAGGTTGCTTGTCTGCTAACAATAATAATGTGCATAAAAATCTACAAATATCTCTTGATTTCCTCAATAAACGATCTGTTGCCTGACCCTTGCCTTCCGTCGCTACATGTTTACTATGTAAATGGCTGTTACAGGTGCTGATGAGATATTCAGTTATGTCGTTGTTGACTTAACTAGAATCCTCCTTGCACCCATACTTTCAAATTAAATAATATTTGTAACTATGCAAAATGTGTAAAAATGTGGTTGTACAGTTTTTGCGGGGATGAAGTCATCTAAAAGATATCTTTGTCCAAATTCCGGTGTGCATACAAAGCGAAAGTTGGTAGAAGTGTATTGTATCTACCAGAATGCTTTGGATCTATGGTGCTTGTGTATTTACACTTATCAGTAAGACCTGCCTTTTACTTTGAGAAGCCTTCTGTTTTTCCCTTCCCTTTAGTTGAACTAGTATCACTCGTCAAAGATAATAACTTCAGTGTAAGATATTCATGTCGAAAGTTACCCACTGTTCGACTGTCTAAATTATTCTCACAGTGTAACCGACTTATTTGTTTATATTAAAACCTGTCTGCATTAATTAGTCCTACAGGAGTAATTTGTGACCTGAAATGCTTTGTGATAAGGCTGATTGCTTCTGTGTAGACTTGTGATCCCTTATTGATAAGTACCGACAAGCACAAAATGTGAGTCAATGGCTTTCTACTAGCTGAATATCATAACGAAAATTGCACTATTGTATACAATAATTCAGTGTCTACGATCAAGATACTTTGACCAACTCAGTTAGTATTTGAAAATTATGCCGGTTAGTATTCAGCGTTTCTGGTCAGCAAATATGTATCTGATTCAAATTAAGGATCATGAAAAAAACTCCCTATTAATGCAAAATTAATCAGTGATTTATAAAATAAATTATTCATAAAATATGCTTTCGGTTTTTGTGTGGAACAGAATAACGACAATTCAGAATAACAGTTATAAGCATTTTTATTTGTTGCATACATAACCTTTTGCTTTATTTGATGTTATTTAAGACTGCAGGCAAT